ATTTCCTGACTCCAAAAGTGTACAATAGTGTACAGTCTGAAATTAGTGTACAGAAGTCTCAAATAGTGTACTGTACACTTCAAAAGTGTACGGTTGGTCACACTAATCTCTACACCAAATTTATTTAGTATAAAACTGTTGGCAAAAGCGCCGGTACCTCACAATAGCCTCGTCATTGCGGGTAAACACCGGGCGCTTAGGTCTCTGACTGTTTGTCCAAATTATAATATCGCCCGAAATCTATGAGTCAATGATTTAATTTAAATAATATTAATATCAAAAACAACTATAATTTGTTATGTTTAATTATGGGCCAAACATACAATGTAATAATAATAAAACTCACCTGGTTGGTTACCAAATAATGGAAGCACAATGGAAACAATGAGCTCAAAATGGATCGCTTAGTGTACAAGACTGTTGTCAGGAGAGTCTGGTCGTGTCGTATGGGCACACATATGCCCGCTGTTACTACAATGCCACCAAACGAGTGCTCAGTGCCCACGGCAAACGTGGCCAACACTGGCGACCATACGTGCAAAATAAATGGTATTGTGGCCATGGTACATTTAAACACGCAAAGTGTGATGGTGCCCTGGACAACTGGTGCAAGTTCGTGGCCGTAATCGGAGCTAAATGAATATTTCAAACTAGCTACATAGGGTATGAGCTCGGTGTGCACGTAATTTGCGTGATGTACGTCCGATGAATTTTCTACGATAGTCTAGCACCATAATGAAATTATTAATTCATTATGATTACATGAATATTCAATTTTATACATGTAATTTACCTGAAAAGGCGCTAATACAATTTCCGGATAACTTTGTTGTAGAACAAGTTTTGCATTATGTTTGGCTATAAAATCGTCGGGGTAATGATCGGGGTCTAAGTCCTCCGAGTGATGCCAGACGTATATCATTTCATTCTTCTCTATTGTCTGCCATTTCTTTACCACAGCTTTCAATGCCTTTAATTCGGAATCTATTTAAAAGTCATATTATAAAAAATAAATTTTAAGTTATAAATATATTTAATCTATTGTTATAGACATACCGTTGAGATTAGGTATGCGTTTGCACTGTCCGTCCCGTCCATTAAATCTCCAGCCATGGAATGGACACTGAATACAGTCGTCGCCCGACTCTGACTCAGTCACCACATGTCCGCCGACACCGAGATTTGCGCCCAAATGTGGACAATAGGCGGACAACACGTGGACAGCACCCGATCCACCCCTGAATGCCACCAACTGTTGGCCACACATTTCAAACGGCACAACACTATTGAGGCGCAGATCTCTCGACGGCATTACACAAATCCATGTGTTCGGGTATTGAAGGGTTTCAATGTTGGCATTAACATCATGGTCAAATAG